ACACACACACACACACACACACACACACACACACACACACACACACACATATATATATATATATATATATATATATGTGTGTGTGTATGTGTGTGTGTAGAGAGAGTGATAGAGAGAGAGAGAGAAAGAGCCTATATGATAGCAAATCCAAGAGAGGTGAAACACCTGGAGAGCTGGTGCAAGGAGAATAACCTTCATATCAATGTGAAGAAGATGAAGGCGATGGTCGTGGACTTCAGAAGGAACATTCACACTTACCCCCACAAACATAGGAGGATCTGCAGTGGAAGTGGTCTCCAGCTACAAGTACTTGGGTGTGCACCTGAATGACAACCTCAGCTGGAGCAACAACACTATCAGTCTGATCAAGAAAGCTCATCAGAGACTCTACTTCCTCAGGTGGCTGAGACGAGCTGGTCTGGGAGGCTCAGTCCTCACCTCCTTCTACAGGTGTGCAGTGGAGAGCATCCTGTGCTCCAGCATTAAGGTGTGGCATGGAGGCTGCACAGATGTTGGAGTCAGTCTCCCTACCATCACAGACATCTACACCTCCAGATGCAGGAAGAGGGCTACCTGCATCATGAAGGACCCCACTCACCCAGCACACACACTTTTTGCCCCACTCCCCTCAGGAAGGAGGTTGAGGAGAATTAAGTGCAGAACCACTAGACTGAGGAACAGCTTCTACCCTGAGGCTGTTAGACTCATGAATATCTAACCAGGAGAATCACTGTGAAAAATCACATCATGTTGCTGCTGATCTGTTTCATGTTGCTGCTGATCTGTTTCATGTTGCTGTGTTCATTCATGTTCATCTGCTCACACAGACTCATGTTTGTGCTTGCTGCTGTTCAGTGTATTGTTTTTATGCTATTTTATGCTGCTACTGCTTGGTGTATTTTTATTTGCATTTTTCTTAGTTCATATCTTAGATCTTATTCCTGATTTTATTTTACTTTTTAATACTTTTGTTGGATGTAACTGGGACCCTGTGTACATAATTTTGTTCCACCACCAAATAAAGAACATTGAATCCTTGAAGAGGGAGTGGTGGCACAGAAGTTATAGAAGGCAAGCCTGTAAATGAGAAGTTGCCTGGTTTGAATCTCCTAACCGTTACAATATAATTTGGGTGGGAAAGCACCCACATCTACCTCCACCCACATTTGACCCACTCTGGGCCCTTGAACAAGGCCATTACCCACCAGCTGCTCCCTGAGCACCTTAGTTGTCAGCGCTTTCCTACACACGTGGGCTGCAGTAGCTTGGTGATCTGTGGTTGCGTCAGTAAGGGCATCCGGCGAAAAATAATCGCCAAGTCTTCTTGTGAGTTTACTGCCTGAGAAAAGGAGCAGCCGAAAGAAAAAAGTAGCAAACCCACTGGTGACATTGATTTTGTCAGCCAGTTTGAAAAGTGGCCACCTTCTCAGATTTTTAAATTGTCAATCAGATAGAATTGTTAGAAACACACTTGGGAACATCTAACCGTTCCAAATTTGGAGCTTGTGTCACATTTTGCACTATTCTTGTGTCAAATGGGTTTTAGCTGATCCAGTACAGAAAAACTCCCCATGATCCTTTCACTTTTGTGCCTGTGAGGTGAAGTTCCTTAACAGGTCCCTTTTTGAAATGGCTTAGGTCATATTTGTGTGACAGATTGCAGATTGTGAAGCGATTCACCAGGGTCACTTGCGAGGTTCCACAGGGTTCAGATCTTGGTTTGATTCTATTTTCTGTTTACATGCTTCTTTCAGATAACATTATCAGGAAGCAAGACATTTTTTATTGCTACTCTGAGGACAGTGTTATTTTTAGCAGTGAGGGCAAGTTATTCTGAACGTACTTTAACTCTGTTACAATTTATATATTTATTCATTTTATTTCATCGAGATAATCTTTTTTCACTGTAAATGTGTTTACTATGGTTTGTGAATCACATAATTTTTAAAACCATCTACTGAACAAACACCAAACAACCATCTAGTTTTAAATAACACATGTTCTGCTGACTCTTAGTTTAATATTTGTCAGTTTTCTTTGAAAACAGGAGACTAGCAGTTTATGATCTTCTGTTCAGTTTGGCCTTTCATTGTGTCTCACCATGCTGTACTTCCACAATATGAAAATGTGCAGTTCAGGTCCTACTGCAAACGTAGTGAGTAGGAGTCTAATTTCATTTACAGCAACCCACCCACAAACCTTTGCAGAATATTTCATTTTTGAAGTAAAATAAAACAGACTTCTAATTTTAATAAAACACATCAAATACTATAAGGATTCAAGGATATTTTTTATTATCATACCAGCTCACATTTGCATGTTTATGGTACGAAATTCAGACTCAGGTCCCAGATCAAGAAGCCTAACAAATAAATAAATACAAAAGAGTATATATATATATATATATATATATATATATATATATATATATATGTATGTATGTATGTATGTATGTATTTACTGGGTAATGTTGGGTTTGTGTGTTTTATGACAACAAAAAGGAGAATGTGTGTCTATAATTAAACCAAAATAACTAACTGTGTAATTTGTTTGACATTGACAGTAAAGTTCTAACTTATGTTACTGTTTGATGAGTAACATAACAGATGAATATGCTTTTGTATTTGTTTGAATGTTACCCATCAGTCAGAGCACTGAAGTACATATTTTGCATCACTGTATAGATACGTTGAATACGGTACTGCATAAACAATGGCATGTGAGTGACTTTTACAATGTTTTCATTCAATGGATTTATTATATGAATCAACTACTGCTTCAATCTTCTCTGATTCACAAACTGCAGTTGCTGAAGTGACCAACATAAAATTTATTTTAAGTAGCAACTGAAAAGCTGTGGAAATAATTGCCTTTTCATGATTATAAGCCAACACTTTGACCTCAATTGCCATGTTGTACATATTTCTTTCAAACTTTGTTCTAATCATTCTTAGACTTAATTCGAAAAGCAACATATCTTAAGATTCTTGATATTCAGGCTGTTGATGTTGCTAATCAAGAATCAAATATTGACGTTTGAATGTGATTAGTGGATACCGAGAAAATGAATCAGATGCACAAAGTTTTAAACAATCTCTAGTTTTGCTTTAAATCAAACTGTAGAACGTTTCAAGCAAGACAAGGAATTCATATGCTTTACAGTATCGATTGTTTTTGCCCGTTTTGATGGATTGCTCTGTTTGCAACAAAGGTTATTGACCCACACATTTGCTTCAACAATACACATGAAATGAAGATTTTAATACAACAAAAATTTCTAAGATAGCACGTCTCCACGGATGGAGAAAGACAGTCTGACAGACAGATTGCTGATTTGTCTCCCTGTCTGGGAGCTGTCTGAGAGGCCGGGCCATCTGCACATTTATTATCGCAGCAATGATTCCATTATTGTTCTGTGTGGTAACAAGGACTCGCTCTGTCTGGCCTTTGTTTTTCTTATCTTCCGTCGAGCTGACAGCCCCCTTTTGATCATAGCAGAAACAAAATTAACATCTTCATGTAATATAGTGCATAAATGAATCATCATCTTTAATAATGACACACTAAACAGCCTCCTATCTTTTCTTCCTGTGTCCTTGTGCAGGTCTGTTCCACCGAGCCATTATTCAGAGTGGATCAGCCCTCTCCAGCTGGGCGGTGAACTACCAGCCGGTCAAGTATACACGTCTCCTGGCAGAAAAGGTGGGCTGCAACGTTCTCGACACGTCAGACATGGTGGATTGTCTACGGAAGAAGAGCTCCAGGGAGCTGGTGGAGCAGGACATACAACCTGCGAGGTACCACGTGGCCTTTGGACCCGTGATCGATGGTGACGTTATACCCGATGACCCAGAGATTTTGATGGAGCAAGGCGAGTTCCTCAACTACGACATCATGCTGGGGGTCAATCAAGGCGAGGGGCTGCGGTTCGTAGAAAACGTGGTGGATTCCGAAGACGGCGTTTCTGGGAACGACTTTGATTTCTCTGTGTCGGATTTTGTGGACAGCCTGTACGGATACCCGGAGGGAAAGGACACACTTCGGGAGACCATAAAGTTCATGTATACAGACTGGGCAGACAGAGACAACCCAGAGACCAGACGGAAGACGCTGGTGGCTCTGTTCACCGACCACCAGTGGGTAGAGCCTTCGGTGGTGACGGCTGATCTTCACGCTCGCTATGGCTCACCAACCTACTTCTACGCCTTCTACCACCACTGCCAGAGTCTCATGAAGCCCGCGTGGTCAGACGCAGCCCACGGGGATGAAGTGCCCTATGTCTTTGGAATTCCTATGATTGGTCCCACTGACCTTTTCCCCTGCAACTTCTCCAAAAACGATGTCATGCTAAGTGCTGTGGTCATGACCTACTGGACAAACTTTGCCAAAACTGGGTGAGTAAACTAATAAGCTTTTGGAGTTTTTATTCAAGACAGAGGCCACAGCTAATCTACCTAGCAAACTCAAAAATGGCTTTAGCTCAGTAAATTTTATAGATATGTATCTAGAATTTGGCAGTTGCTGAACATTATACCCAAAAAACAGTCTGCTAGTTAAGAAATCCTGTGAGATTTTTGTTCAAAACTTTGACTTTAACTGTTGGAGTCAATACTGTAGCATGGACACACAGGAAGGGTTTTATTATCCATCCATCCATTCCATTCCATTATATTTTACCCGCTTCTTCCATTTTGGGTCACGGGGTTGCCGGTGCCCGTGTCCAGCAATCACAGTGCGAGGGGTGGGGTACACCCTCGACAGGTCGCAAGTCCATCACAGGGCTACATAGAGACAAACAAGACAAACAACCATTCACTCTCTCACTCACACCTAGGGACAATTTAGAGTTACTAATCAGCCTAACATACATGTTTTTGGCATGTGGGAGGAAACTGGAGTACCCAGAGTTTTATTAAATCTCAGGAAATATTAATAGGATGCACCTCTACAACTGGTTTACCTTTGGAATAAACATAACTCCAGATCCAAATTTGGTTTGGTATTAACTAAAATTAATCCACACACATAGTCTGAACTCTTACCAGATTAAAAGTGTCTTTATTTAAGACTTTGACATGCAATGTCATGTGATGTGCATCTATTCAAGATCTGCTAGTGTTTTGCTTGTTTGTTTTGCTTTGAGTTGACTAATACCTGGCAGACATTTTTAAGCAAAACTACAGAATGGTATTTTTCAGCAACCAATGCATCTAAATTATTATCGGGCATAAATGTCTTTTCAATGGGGAGTGGTAGCGCAGAGGCTAGAGGAGGTGAGCCTGTGATCAGAAGGTTGCTGGCTCGACTCCCCAGACCGACAACATCAAAATGTTGATAGGAAAGGTGAAACACACCTGCCTCCAGCATCATTTGCCCCATTCTGGGCCCTTGAGCAAAGGCCTTAACCTCCACCATCTGCTCCCAGAGTGCCTTAGATGGCAGCTCTCTGCTCCACACAGAGGGCTGTGGTAGCGCTGTGGTCTGTGGTTGTGTCAGGAAGGATATCCAGCGTAAAAACAATTGCCAAATCTTCATGCAAGTTAGTTCACTGTGGCGACCCCTGAAGAAGGGAGCAGCCAAAAGAAGAAAAAATAAAATAAAGATCTGTTCAATTCTATATGACCGGACACTGCTGCATTGCAAAAGACTTATATTTGAAAGTGGCAGGCTCAGATTATTACTGTAAGGGTTTTCAAGATTATGAAAAGAATCTCAGCTGAAGCCTCCCCAAAGGAAGAATTGCTCATTGAAATCTCGTGGGAGGTGAGATATGTCAGGAAGACAGCAGTCTACACATGAGTGAGAGGTGGCTGCAATGGGAAGAGTGAAATAACGTTACAGAATTGAAGGTTTCTTCGTACTGTAATGCACAGCTTTCTAAAACCCAAACAGAGGTTTATGTTTGTGCTTTCTCCAGAGAGTGGCAACAAAATGTTAAGTTGCATTGCATAAAGCTTTCACAGATTGCCTTTGGGGGACTTGTGCATGCTGAAGTTGTTTTCTGTCCACAAATAGATGTGAACAGGATGGCTCCTGGAAAATAAATTAAACCAAGGAATGTCTTAATTCACCTGTCCCACTATAACAGTCAATGATGTGCAAATGTGACTAATAACTTATGTAAATAGTATTTCCTTAACTTCATTTCATGTAACATTGAAGGGAAGGTGCAGCCAAAAGAGAAAGAAGTTAAACATAACCAAAATTAAGCTAGCATTCCTAAAATGGATTGCAAATAATTTAAAGGGATTGACGGGATTTTTTTGAGAAACAACTCTCTCAAAAGTGTAATGCAGATGTAAAAGAACACTACATTTGCAAATATTGCTGTGCTTTTGCATGGTGCTGTTTAATTCCTAGTTGTTTTCTCCACCGATCTGTGTCTGTTACTACATGGGCTGTTGAATGTATCAGTCCAGCGGAAGTGAAATATACCTTTAGACTGCTCTTACACACTGATCAAGCAGACATATTTTCAAAAACCACACGAGATTGACATCCGCATGGTAACAGTATCAAAGAGGTCCTAGTTAGGTTAGCCATTAGCCTAGCCTTAAGTCTTTTTCTGACTATTTTATGTTAAATGACAACTATTTAACATAATATCACTTTTAAAATCACCAGACTGTCCCTTTAATGGTTAACCAGTCACGTTTCATTATTTTCCTCTTTACTTAATCACATAAGTGCATTGTTTATCAAAACCTAAAGTGTATGTAATATATGCAACACTAGTAGACAACCAGTTTCTTGCCCTTGAAGAAACAGAGTGAGTTTGATATTTCGTATGCATAAAACATAATAAACCATCTGCCTAACATTTGTAAAGAGCAGTGCAAACAAACAAGCGTGGACCTTTACTGAAAGTGTCACGTTCTAGGGGTCATTACCTGAGTTGTTTATCTGATAGATGGTTAACTCATTAAAATAATCTGCCCACAGGCTGCAGTGTTGGTCGCACACTCAGGAGGTGATTTAGTTTCCTTACTGCGCAACCTTTAGCTCTTTATTGTACAGTTCACTGTATGCTTTCACCATCAGCACATTCATTAATTTTTAAAGAATCAAATAATCACCAGCAGCCACGTATTTAGAAATGACATTGACAGTATGCAGCAGAAAATGCCAAACAAAAAAATAATAATAATAATAAATCCCTGCTTAGATTAGAGAGGATTTAGGCATCTTGGCTCTAACAGAAGGAACATTTCCTCTCTGACTACCAGGATGATTTATACCAGCAGTACTTGGAAATTAGTAAAACCAGTGATCACACAATCCTTAACTTGCCAAGTTATTAATAGAACGTTTCAGAGAGGAATCCCATCTCGGCTGTGTTAACACTTCTGTGCAGGAGAAAAGAGGCAGCTCCAAAATGGATGGTGTGGCACAGAAAAAGCATTTTTCCACAGTGACATTATTTTATTTATTTGTTGTTGTTGTTATTCGGGGGAGTTTTTCGCTTGGACTTCTTGGGTTTCAGTCTGAAGGTCTGAGACATATTGAATCTGAGGAAGATTAAAACTCCTGCTGAGTGTCTGCTGTGCCATTAGTCAAGTGTCTGGGTTGAGCTTTCCGCCTTTCTGTACACTTAGGATCGTTAGGGTCTGTTCGTGTCTTTGACTTGATTTTTATCTTCACTCTCTCATCCGGGGACCCAAAAGACAAAAACTTATCAAGGAGGAATATCAAACTCTTGCTCTTGCATTATTGATTCCCTCAGCTTAGGGCCAGTCGATCACTCGTGCCCTGGGTGACCCTTTCCCCTGCTCAGTTTCACACACCCCAACCCCAGCCTCACTCATCACGAATCGTTTCTAACAACCTAAATTTAATTTGACGACTCCCATTACCAGAACCGTATTGATCTCATCCGGAGTGGGATGGTGACTGACATCATGTTCTGTTTATTTTATTTTGGTTTTGGTTTATCTGTCTTTATTTCTCCTGCCATCCATTTAGACAGCATTCACATTCAGTCATCTTGCTGCAAGGACCTTGAGCTCTAATGGCACACCATCCCATTGCAGATGGGCTGATATGGACTTTTGTGACTCCTAAAGGAAGTGCAGAGATCCGTCAGTGATATGCAGGTTAAACAGCAGCCTGCACTACCTGGCAGCCATCTCTTGTCAACACACAAATTCTAAAGTGAAGATTTATTCACTCGTTTATATAGTTTAAATTACTGTATTTAGTATTATATACAGGTACATTGGCAGGCAGATTAGTGGCGCAGTTGTTAGAGCTGTCACCCTTTAGTGAGACGGTCACCTCCCAGTCTGGGTGGTGGTTGCATGTTCTACCTTTGCACGTGTGGTTTTTCTCCAGGTACCATATTTTTTGCCATACACGTCACACCGCCCTATTTGTCGCATCAGTCCAAATATGTCTAATGAAGTGGAAAAATCCATAAATATGTTGCTTCGCCGTATATGTTGCATCTATTATGCATCACCGCTGACACGTCGCGTTTGTTACGCGTCAGCGGTGACAACCCAGAAATGTGGGCCGATGTGCCAAAAATCAATGGGTTGCCAAATAGCGGCCGCGGGAGCATGCACGGGAGGACTTTAATAAGAATAACAAGATTAACACTTAAAAATATTTATTTGTTTGCTTGAAATTAAAGTAAAGGTGTGTCTCAGTCTAACTTTTGCTTTGACGGTCAAATCAGCTGCATTTTCAAAAGCCGATATGCAGAAACTTGAACGCGCAGAGGGCGACTCACTGTCCATTTATTCAAAATTTAACAACATAATCACCTAAAACAATTATTTGCTAACTCGACTTTATAGTAAAGGTGTGTCTCAGTTAAACTTTACTTAATAAATGCACTTTGACAATCAAATCAGCTGCATTTTGCCGGGGCGGCGCAGCAAAATGAAGATGATTCAGTTGCTCCAGGCAGACAACAGTGGCAACAATGGCAAGCCGATTGTGTCATTAATAGCCACTTTTACCTATTACATGAGACAACGGCATGCCTTAACACCCTACTGCCATCTTGTGGCTGAAAATAGTAGTGTTTAATTTTTTTTAGTCAGAATGAATGAAAACTGTCATATGTCAGCCAAAAATTGGTTTATAAATATGGGAAAAAATTCATTAATACTTTTCTTCGACCTATAAGTCGCAGGGCATACAAATTAAGAAAAAAAAGTGACTTATTATGCTAAAAATATGGTACTTAGTTTTCTCCCATGGGCCAAAAACATGCATGTTAGGTTAACTGGTAACTAAATTGTCCCTATGTGGGTGGTAGTGTGCATGGTAAATTTTTTTCATTCGTTCAACCCTTTAATTAATTTGGAGTGTCTAAATTGTATTATGACTGAAATGTACTGAATAGAACTAGATTTTATGTAACTAAAGATGAATCCTAACCTGACTG